GAGCAAATGTTCAAATTAAGCATGAATATCTTTCAAGAGAAAATRAACTAAGAGAATGAATTTCTGGTATCCATGGTTGTAACCCGATAAGTACCGTTTGATGTTTGATACTATGTTAGAAACACATTTACCAGAACCTTCCATCGACTTTTTTTCTACGCGCGCGTTTTTACGCTGTTTGCTCGCATTTTAAAAGTCGTGGATACGCGGGTATTTTCCTGACTTCCTTTCATGGTGTAACAGTGCTTTTTTTACCATGTGAATTAATATCAGGATGTGAGTCAAGATGTCGTGGTGGTAAAACGCTCGCCTCTCACCTATGAGGTCCGGGGTTCGAATCCCAATCACCCCATGTGAGCTGAGTTGGGTTGGTTCCCTTTCTGACTCCGAGGGTTTATCCATCCTACTGACTCTTTAATCAATAATAATTCAAAATGGTTAGAGCTGTGCTCAGGGTTCATACATGGACTGTATAGCGGCTACCCCAGAGGCACCATCAACATGCTTTCATGCGCCACTGCTGTTCTTTGCAGTGTTGATTAGTGATTAAAGCACGTATTCCCCCCCCCCCCCTCCCTCGTTAAAAAAAAACGTCTCTTTCCTATCTAAAGTGGCTGAAGTTTGAAAACGTGCTCTCCAACTACTGCAAAACATTCTCTTGGAAATAATATTTACTGTTTTAGCAATCTTGTACCCAGAGCCTGCGTTTCTTCTGGCCTGCGGAGAAGAACGAGGGCTCTGGCATAATCCATTTTTTTGCGCATGCGCACTTTTCTGGAAGTGAAATATAATCAATGAAAATTATGCTTTCGAACAGAGTTCTGTGTTTATTTTCCATTAAAATAAAAATCAGAAATCAGGAACTTTTTTAAAAAAATTTCTGGCAACTCTTTCAACGCATGCGCTCTTATACCCGAGGTCCAAGAAATCCTGGTCTTAAAAAAACATTATGCCAGAGCCCGTGTTCTTCGCCGCAGACCAGAAGAAACGCWGGCTCTGGGTACGAGATTGTTGTTTTAGTCGTGTTCATATTCATGTGTCTTGTYATGTGTAACCGTTACACAAAGAAAGGGTACTCTCACAAAGCTAATTGGATTTAATACTAACAGCTTTGAAGTCGTGGTGTTTTGGTATAGACTGAAGGAGGCTTTTCTTCTCCGGAAATTTTCTTGGTAAGTTTAGATTATTTACCAATGTTTGAGAAAAACTTTTAATGAAGTTTATATATATATCTATAGACAGGATGCAGCGGCGATAGACTTTGTTGATAATTAAGTTTATTTAGACTTCATTCATAAACATTTTCCGTTCTGCTTACGTGAGAGTTTATTGAATAACAATTCCACGAACGAAGACGAACCTAGATTCATCAACTTCACACATAGCAGAGCGCGTACGAATTGAAGAGTTATTTCAATGTAATATAAAGTAGTACATCTGAAATAACGATCTTATTTTTTCTCGATGAATCTTGAGAATGTTAAGGAAAACTCGTTAAATTTCGAGTTATGAATAATAAACAGATTCATCTTTCTTGTTTAGTAGCAAGGAAGAAAG